ACAGCGGACCCTGCGCTGCGTCCCAGCCAGGCGGGCTGATAGGGCCGCGGCCCTGCGGCGCTCCCCCGGGACCCCGTGACGGTAATGCTCCACGGACGCGGTCGCCCGTCGTCAGCCCGCAGCTTCACACGATAAGCCGCTGTTCCGCCGCTCAAGCGCTGCTCGAACCAAGCGGTGGTCGTTCCGTGGACTTTCTGATTGATAAACAGCTGTTAGCTTCAATTATGCTCGCGTCATTAAAGACGCGTGCGCGTAAAGCGTTACGGAATGAACCCGGGCCGTTTCTGGCGCATTTGCTGCGTCAGACGGAGGTTTGGGGAGCTGCGGCAGCCAGGCGACAGCGGTGTCCGAGCGGCGCTGTGACCCGAGGGAGAGTCACAGCTCTGACATGAGGAGGGGTCGCAGCGTACCCGGGTGCGGCGTAGCTGGAGGCACGAGCGGAGACGAGCCGTGTAAACTGGCTGACCGCCGACCGTGCAGCCCCTGCAGCCCGGCGTGTATCGCCTTTCGCGTCTCCCCGGCCCTAGCAAGACCGTGTTTATGTGTGTTGGGTCGCGTGTAACGGGCCAACATTACCGGCTGCATGGGGACCACCGGCAGGGGCGGGCCACGCCCGCAGGTGTGACATGGGCCGAGCAGGCGAGCCGAGGTCGCACCTGGGACCTCCCGCGGGGCACCGGAGCACTCCCCGGCCAACACCACCGCCAGGCGCGCGCAGGCGACGACCTGGAGCGGCCCGCTGCATAGGTCGCCAGGGGGCGTCTTGTCGAACGTCCCGAGCGTGTTAGCGAGTGAGCCTGAAAGGTCATCACAAGCAGACGCAAGTCGGGCTCTCAAACAGCGGGCAGGGGTCGGTCGGAATCGGATCCTGTGCATCAGACGGCAAAAGCGACAAAGCGACTGCGCCTCAGGCGGTGCGGTGTACGTGTCAGCAGCTGTAACATTCCACGGGAGAGGCGTCCTCTGTTGTCAGCCGGCCCGCCATCGCCGGCGCCCGCCCGACCCCACCAAGAGTCGGTCAGCAGGCTCCCCTCCCCACCCACCCCCCTCAGGTCAGTCGGCCCACCAGTCATGATGTGTTCCGGCCGCCAAGGATCAGAGACCGGGCCACCGGGCGCTGGAGGGGGAGGAGGCGCCGCGGGGGGCCCTGCCGCGGGCGGTGACACCGCGCGACACCGTGACCCTCGCCGCGGCGGCGAGACGTGCTCCAGACGGCCGCGCCGCGCGCCGCCCGCCCGCGCGCCGCTCATTAATTCGATCGCCAACTCAGCGCCGCAAAGTATCAATTTACCAATTTGTAGGCCGATTGTAAACACCGGGGCGCGGGAGCGGACGACCGGGGCCGCCGGACCACCCCGGCGGCGGCACGGCGCTGACAGGTACGGCCCCGGCCGCGCCGCCGCGAGTTACGGCCCGCCGCCTCCCCCTCCCCGCCCGGCCGGGCGAAGGGGTGCAATTAGGACGTGGGTGCGGATTCCTGCGACGGTTCGGTGTCGCGCGGTCGGCGCGAGAGGCGCGCGACGACTGGGCCGGCCCCACTGACGGCAAACGAGCTGCCGGCCCGCCCCCGGCCGCGGCCGCGGCCCGGCCGCAGCGAGCGGCGGTCACCCCGACCGATGGGAGCCGTCCGGCGGCGGCGGCGGCGGCGGGAGCCTCAACGGAGCCGTGTTTCGCGCCGCGATCCCTGCTGCAGGCCGCCGATCATCGCCAGCACCATCAGCATCTGGTCAGACGCCAGCTGACGCTGCAGCCGGGCGCGTGAGCCGGTCGGCGAGCTGCAGCCAACGCCCGGCTGTAAACTGTTGGAGCGCGGCCTGACGCGCGGCGTCCGGCTGCGACTGATCACCGGCTGGCCGAGAGCGGGCCGGCTTACAGCGCCGATCGGCCGGCGGCGGACCACCCTCCCCGCCGGCCGGCCGGCGGCCGCCGTCGGCCCATTGTGCCGCAGCGTCGCCCGCTGCCCGGCGTCTCTGAACTCGACACCGCGGTCGGCGCGGCGCCGTGCGGCGAATTGAGCGCGCGCGCCGCCGGCGACGCGGCGCTTCCGGCGCGCGCCGCTCAGGTGCGCCGGCGCACGTGCGCGCCGCCTGCCGCCGCCGCCGGCGGCGGACACGGCGGATGACGGACGGGCGCAGGCTGCCGCTGAGACCGGGGCCGGTCGCCGCCCTAGCCCCGGCTCCGCTGGGAGGCCGGCGCCAGACAGCCGCGCCGCCCGCCGTGAGCGCCGCCGCCGCCGCCACCGCCTGGCAGCCGCGCCGACGGCGGCCGCGTCGCTGCCGTCGTTATCCAATTCTCGCCGCCGGCAGGCCCATCTGTCCGCCCGTCGTTCTCGTTACGGGCCCGACATCTCGACAATGTCGGCGGCGTTCCGGAACGTCGGCGCCGGCGCGACACCTGCCGGCCGCGTCGGCGCCCCCCAGGCGATTATTCGCAATGTTCCGATTGTCCGTTCTGATTGTCATCTAATGGGGGGAGTGGGGAGCCAGTGTATAATGGCGCGCAGGGGCGCCCGACGCGGCGTAGTGCCACCGATACCGGCCCATCGAGGGGATGGGGGCCGGCTGTCCAGCAGGCGAGAGGGCAGGAAAACTGATAGAAAAATGTGGATGCGAAAGCGAGGACGAGAACGGAAAATAACACTATGTTTTAAGTGGTTATTTTCGTTGTTTGAACCAAAAAGGTTTTCAACTCAAAATTGTTAAAGATGATACTCAAGCACGTTAGGCAGCGGGAACCCAGCTGAAATTTTGAACGCGGCTGTCGCTATCGTCGCACGGTTCCCTGCAGCTTGACAGATTCATTATCTAAATTGACTCTCAACCGTGCGCAAACACTTTCCCATCAACTCTGCCTGTTTGTCGGCTGTCAGTGTGCAGCGCAGGAAATTTAAAACCCCGCCGGCCGTGCCCTGACACCCGCGGCGCGCCCGCGGGACAGCCCCCTCCCCCAGGCGCCGTCAGCGGCGGTGGGGGCCGGCCGGGGGGCCATTGTCAGAGGCGCGTGTCAGCCGGCCGGTCGTCGTCGCCGCCCCCCGCTCGACAATGCGCCGGCGCCGCGCCACATCGGCCGCGACGCGACGCTCAATGCTACCTGATTTCATTGGGGAGGCAAGCGGAGCGGAAGCGACACGGCCGGCGGTCCCGGCGCGGCGCCGCTGGGTCACACGCGGCGACGGCGGCAGCGGGCGCCGGGGACGAGACGGAGGCCGAGGGACGGGGAGGATGGCGACCACGGGCCGCTTCTCGCGCGCGCGCGGACCGTTGGTCCTACGGTGATGCATGGAAACAGGTGACTTTAAAAGCAGGGGTTGGAGCAGCGACTATTGAGACATTCCGTTGGAGGCGTACGTCCAGTGAGCGCTCGCCACTGGTGGCGGAGGGTAGAGACTGGATCCCGGGCAGGTCTGGTGGTGGAGGGTGGAGACTGGACCCTGGGCAGGTCTGGTGGTGGAGGCTGAAGACTGGACCCTGGACGGGTCTGGTGGTGGTGGGGGGGGGGGGGAGACTGGGCCCCGGTCAAGTCCGGTGATGGATGGCGGAGACTAAACCCCTGGGCAGGTCTGGTAGTGGAGGGTGAAGACTAGACCCCGGGCAGGTCTTGCGGTGGAGGCTGAGGACTGGACCCTGGGCGGGTCTGGTGGTGGCGTACGGGGACTGACCCCTGGGCAGGTCTGGTAGTGGAGGGTGAAGACTAGACCCAGGGCAGGTCTTGTGGCGGAGGATAAAGACTGGACCCTGGGCGGGTCTGGTGGTGGAGTACGGGGACTGAACCCCGGGCAGATCTGGTAGTGGAGGGTGAAGACTAGACCCAGGGCAGGTCTTGTGGCGGAGGATAAAGACTGGATCCTGGGCGGGTCTGGTGGTGGCGTACGGGGACTGAACCCTGGGCAGGTCTGGTAGTGGAGGGTGAAGACTAGACCCAGGGCAGGTCTTGTGGTGGAGGATAAAGATTGGACCCTGGGCGGGTCTGGTGGTGGCGTACGGGGACTGAACCCCGGGCAGATCTGGTAGTGGAGGGTGAAGACTAGACCCAGGGCAGGTCTTGTGGTGGAGGATAAAGACTGGGCCCTGGGCGGGTCTGGTGGTGGCGTACGGGGACTGAACCCCGGGCAGATCTGGTAGTGGAGGGTGACGACTGGACCCAGGGCAGGTCTTGTGGTGGAGAATAAAGATTGGACCCTGGGCGGGTCTGGTGGTGGAGTACGGGGACTGAACCCTGGGCAGGTCTGGTAGCGGAGGGTGAAGACTAGACCCAGGGCAGGTCTTGTGGTGGAAGGTGGAAACCGGATCCCGGTCAGGTTTGGATGCTGTGGGACAGCGACATTGCGTTGCGAGGGAGCGGGGGCTTTGAGGGAGTGCTGGTGTCGTCAGTGCACTTCCCGGAAGCTTTGGTGTGGGCGATGGAAAGCGCGAGGTGTAGTCGGATCGCATGGCAAGTGCCGTGAGAGGGGATCAAGTGAATTTCTAAGGTAGCAGGTTTGAGAGAAATGAACACACTCCGGCGCGTTTTCAGAATTACCTCTAAGCTTTCAGAGACATGAGCATCGTTTCGGATCGGGCTTAATTCGGGGCTCGTGTTTCCTTTGCTTCTACTTGAAGAGACACCTGGGCAGGGAAACACTTTTGACCTTTTCACTTTCGCCAGGAAAGTCACGACAGTGATATTCCGTGGAACTCGAATGTTGTCAGGATTAGCGGTACGTCCATAACCCCGGTCTAGGCGACAAAAGCTGGCAGCGTTTATGGTGTACAGCCCCATTCGTGGAGACCTATCCCCCTGGTGGTCATCTGGGCCCATGTTCACCTGCGGCCGGCCTCGCCAAATCTCACCGCTCGCCTTCTCGAATGTCAGCACTTCACACCCACCGCCCGACTCTTCGAACTCGGCAGACCTCAGTTCTGCAGCCTGTGGCCGATTGCCGACCGCACCAGCCAGTGGCGTCCGCCCCCCCCCCCCCCCCCTCCCCTCGCCCCCGCTCCGCCGACCGATCAGGCACCTACCTTCCGGTCTTGGTGATGATCATCTCGGTGCCGAGGTCGTAGAACTTGTCCCAGAGCTCCTTTGCCTCCAGCTGGCAGTGCACGTCGCGCAGTTCGTCGCAGTTGGCCTGCACGCGCACGCCTCGCTTGGCCGGCTTCTGCGGACTGTCGGCAGGCTCGGAGCAGGGCGTCGAGCCGCGAGACGCCGAGTCGTCGACGGCCGCCTCGGGCAGCTCCTCGACGTCGATCTCCTGCGCCTCGTCGCCGTCCGAGCGCGCCTCGGTCGCCTTCACTGCGGGCGGGGGAGAAGGCGTCATCGGTCTGGCCGGCGCCAGGCTGGAGAGGCCCCAGGCGAAGTGGAACTCGAAGGGTCAGCGCTGGGAAGGAGACGGGAACTCGAAGGGTCAGCGCTGGGAAGGAGAAGGGAACTCGAAGGGTCAGCGCTGGGAAGAAGACGGGAACTCGAAGGGTCAGCACTGGAAAGGGGTCGGGAATTCGGAGGGTCGGCGCTGGGAAGGAGACGGGAACTCGAAGGGTCAGCGCTGGGAAGGAGTCGGGAACTCGGAGGGTCGGCGCTGGGAAGGAGACGGGAACTCGAAGGGTCGGCGCTGGGAAGGAGTCGGGAACTCGAAGGGTCGGCGCTGGGAAGGAGTTGGGAATCAGATGGGAGAGGAGAGGGAAAAACGAGAGGTGGGAAGAAGAGGGGCCAGGGGCCTAGTTTGACGAAGTAAGTTTGGGACTGAGCAGAGAAAAATGACTATCTGCTCAGAAAATACGCCCCAAAACGGGTTGCTCCCGGAACCAGCCCCACATTCTTTTCAAAGTTGAGGGACAAGAGCTTCCCTTCCCAACCCAATAGAGAACTACACCTCTGAGAGGGAACATTGGCGGAAGACGAGAAAAACGAGGGAGAGAGAAGGAGGTGTTGTTTGAATGAATGAAATGGAAATTCCGAACGAAATGGAGAAGTTTGGTTGCTGACAGCGTGGTGTATAAAATCTAAATAACGCCTTTTCGACATATTCTTACCCCACTCTTACCATACCTACGTTTAATGCGATCCACTGTGAGGGAACCCTTTCTAGCTATCGTCTTGTACAATGAGGAAGGTTTAAGCGCGTGTAAAGATGTAAGAAAGATGTGCTCCTATCATAACATCAGAAGTACTACATTTTCAAGGAATGTCACGCGTAAAACGCTGATCAGTGCTGCAAACAGCCCTACTGCTGGCGACCAAAGACCGGGCGCTGGCTAGCCAGCCACTTTGGGCAGCCTAATGATTCCAGTTCTTTGACGACGACGGTCTAAAGGGATGCCGACGCGGCCGACGAAAATTTTCTTCTGTCCTGGACTTTCAAGCGGCAAGCTTCTGTTGAAATGAAATGCTTTGAACGCAGTTTTCTTAATGACAGATGGTAATACAAACCGTTAAAACTATTAGCGACGAAGAAATTTAGGCTACAAAATCTTTAAAGTATGGCTGCTGTATACTGTATGGCTGCAAATAGTTCCGTGGGAGGTGGACAAAACCAGGAAAGACCTTTAAGAAAATAGGATTTTTATAGCAAGTCATGCGCTCGATTGAGGAATTCCTTTGAAACGGCCATTTCAACCGAAGATCTGAGCTGTTAGAGAGTAAGTTGAGATAAGTGACTTCCAAGTGGGATGTGCCTGATCTTCTCCCGTCTGTATGCAGCCAAACATTGACCTGAAAGCTACACTCCCCTGAACGAGGAGCTTTCGTAGTAATCCGTCTCAGCGAAGACAGAACATCCTCACTCCTTCCTGGAACCTGGCTGAGTTCATGTGCTTACGTTTTAACGCGCCGTTCCTGCCTGGAGCTTAACTGAGCTGATGTACTCACATCGTTGTCATCCTTAATTGCTTTTCTTATTTTTTGGTACATGCCGACGTGACTCACTGATGGACGCCGACCAATGTACAGACACCGGGGATAGTCAAAGGCATCGAGGTGATCGGAAACAAATTCCCGGAAGTTCACGTTCACTTCCCACAGTCTTGCTGACAAGGGCACGACCTTTTCCACATCACTTAGAAATTCGCCGATCCGTCAGTCTGAGTCTGTGTTGCGGCTCCATCCGTGCAAGCCGGGCGAACACCTCACATGGCGTGCAGATCTAATAGATACACGGATAACTGGGAATCAGAAATCATTATTTGCGGTAACTGTTCGCTGAGGGTGAGTCGAAACTGCGGTCGGTGTCGGCCCAGCCGTCTCGACTCGTTCCGCCCGCCTGCCGGGCTGTCGGGCCGTCATCTGTCCGTGCCGGCTCTGCTGGCGCCCCGGACGCCTCCCACTGCCGCCCTCTCCGCGGCCGACAGCTCGGCCGGGCCTCGCCCGCGGCGCACGGCACCGGACGGCGCCGGCAGCCCGCCCCAGCGGAGTGCAGCGCGCTTCAGCCCGCTGCCCGGCAGGCTAGCTGACGTCCTGCCCGGCGCCTATCGCCCCCGATCGGGCGGCGCGGACCATTTGGCCGGAATTTGGCAGCCGCGTGCCGCCGGCGCCGCCCTTTTATCTGCGCTGGGCAGCGTTCGGCCCGAGAGCCGACAATGCGCACGTGGCCGACAGTAAAAAATATTTTGACGTTTTCATTGTGCGCGCTGACGAAGAAATGCGGTCGGCGGAGGAGACGTGGCGCAAGATAAAAAGCCTGATAATGACACGCGTGTCGAGCGGGGCGCGCGCGCATGTGTATGTGTGTGTGCGGGGTGTGTGTGCCGGGGAGAGGCTAATCCGCCGGATATTGTCGACCGGGCCGGGCCCATTAGAGTCAGCACGACGAGCTAATGTCGAGCACGAGCTAAGCGGATCTGGAGCGGGCTTGTTTGCGTGGCGGACGGGCGCGGGCGCGCGGGCGAAAGGAGGGCGGCCGCCCGGGAGCCGGGATGAGCGCGCTCGCCCCAGCTTGCGCTGCCCTTGGTGCGACCGGCGTCAGTCACGCTCAAACGTCATGTGCCTGGCGGTTGTCGCTGGGTGTTGTCACAAGCACCGCCGAGAAGCCTCTCAGGGGGACCGACTGCAGGCGCAAGGCGGCCCGGCGAGGGGGGGGGGGGAGGGTGTCGAGGCTGCAGAGTGTTTCAGAAGACAGGTGGTAGCCGGTTCCCCGCCGCGTGCTGACAACACAGCCACAGGAGAAAAGTCAATACAAAAAAGACCCGAGGTTGCGGTCACCTCGTCACCGACTCCCGCCACTTCAAAGGGGCCGCCGACCCGTCGCGCGCCGGCGATCAGTGCATGCACGCAGCTCCCGGACCGGTCGGTCGACTTAGCCGCCGCTGCCGCTGCCGCTGCCGGCGGGGCTGGCGCGACAGACGCCGCCTGCGAAAGCGATCCCCAGGCCCGCTGGCACACTGACCGGCTGGGGGCTTTGCTAGGGGGAGGGGAAGTTGTACACTGGGTCACAGCTGTGTCATGTGTCTGATTTACCAGGCCGGGGGCGCGTCTTGCGTTTGAGGTGGCCTGTTTGGATGCGATGTGTCATACAGCACGCAGACAACTTAGGATTTTCTTGGTGATGTGAGGGTGCGATGTGTTCTGAAGTCATTCGTGGAGGAATAAGGGCCTTCTTCGTGGCCCACTCATGTAGGTACAGTCAGTCCTGGATTTCCTCATAACGCTTCGTGGGCACATCATGGTCCCAGTATTAAAAATTCCACTCATCACGCAATTGGTTATTTCGAGAATCCTACCGCTGTAACTGTACTATAATGATCGACTCCCATATAAACAGCGCGATAAAAAAATCAGTGGAACCCCAACCGCTATCATTTTCCGACACGGTCAAGCCGTGAGTAAAATTTACAGCCAGAGCGAAGGCGGCTGGCCCAGCGTTAGCTGTACTCACGTCAGGAGGGTCTCATTTCGATTACCTGGCTCCACTTATCGCGTTAGAACAGATGTTATCTGTTTGCCAATGTAATTAAAGAACACACTCAATGATCGGTAGGGCCGGTAATTGTGATTAACTATCGGGAAATAACGCGGAGCAATGAGCGCAGAGTGGGCATATGAAAAAGCCCAATGGCTTCGTTATTAATAGATCGTCATCTGGCCTGTGTATTGTATGACATCAAAGCTCGCCGACACCGGGACGTTGCTGCCTAAACTGTATCGGACAGAAACAAAGTGAAGATGAGTTCCAAAATGGAGGTAGCACATGGGTTTGTCCTATGCAAATTGAGTTACGACACGAAATATGCACCACTATTGTTTGACTTCCTCTCTCAGCGCGAGGTGGACGTTTCGTCATGAGAGAGCGAAAGCAACAGGTTTGGCGCCAAAAGGATTACAAATCCTTACACTGATTGTATATGCAGTGACTGACTGCATGGACACTGAAGTGGTCCTGATATTACTGAGAGCTGCTGGCAGCTGGTGCAAGTGCAGAAAACTGTCATCTTTCTCATGTTAAAAAACAGTGGCTTCTGAAAATACAGAGGCTTTTTGAGGTACTTCAAGGGCGTTGCTCGGAAAATATCACTCCTGTTTCTGTTAATGATGCAGAGACAATGAAGATAATGTTCAGTGTTTCATGTTTATGACAGGATATTTGCTCATAACATGAAGTCATCCATTTTGCTGAAGTACTCATCTGTTTGTTCATCTGCTACACTCACTAAATTACGGCACTAATTTCTTCAAAAAGGAACACTGAATGTGCATCAAAATGAGAAACCAAGCTGGCATGCCAGACGACTTCTGGCCAGCCGCACTTCGGTATTGTGAACACCAACGGCTGGACACTCACAGCGGGGTACGTCAGCTTGTGCCAAACCGTAACTGGGATACAATTTATTGTAAACGGTGTTGTCCGCGCAGCAGCGGAAGCGAAACGCGACTTGTTTCCTCGTCCGGTACCTAGGCCATTTTGCGACAAACCTGCATGTTTGAGCGTAACGCTTTTGTTGGCCTAGGGTTGTTTACATCTCGTTGAGGTATACCATGCAGATTGCCACCCCATTGCACCATTGCACCATTGCACCCCAGTGGATACACTGCACATCGGAAGCCGCCAAAGCAGCCGCGAGCAAGATCGCTGCGGGACTTAGGTGGAGGCCGAAGCCGAGACCGAGGCCGAGGCCGAGACCAGAGCCGAGGCTGAGGCCGAGGCCGAGACCGGAGCCGAGACTGAGAAGGAGGCCGAGACCGGAACCGAGACCGAGGAGGAGGCCGAGACCGGAGCCGAGACTGAGGCCGAGGCCGAGACCGGAGCCAAGGCTGAGGCCGAGGCCGAGACCGAAACCGAGACGAAGACGGCGAGCGCGGCGCCA